AATATGTCGGTCCTTGTTATAATGCGTGTAATTTTTTCGCTGTGATCAAGTCTCAAATTATTTAATTCCGTATTGTTCGACTCTGGAGTTTCTTCCAAGAGCTCACCAATTAATAAAAGGGCATTTTATATGACATCAGACCAGCAAATAATAATACCATGAATTATCAAAAAAGTCTTGCGGTATTTTTATTGAATTTTCAATTGTTCATAAAATTTTTTTTGATGACTCATGCCCAGCTCTTGACCGATGCTACGGCTGTTATTATGCCGGTCTCTTTCGACTAATTCAGCGATTTTATCGTAATTTTCGACGACAGGCCTTCCGGAGCGTGGCGCATCTTCGACCACCTCTACACCAGAACGAAAACGTTGAAACCATAGTTGTGCGATGGAATTGGAAACTGTATCGGGTCCATAAACTGCACAAATTTTACTGGCGGTTGGAGATGCATTTTTGCCTTTATCGTAGTAGTACTGTAAAATATGCCGTATTTTCTCTTTATTTTGCACCATGTTTGCGTTGCTATAACTCACGAACGACTTAAACGAAACGACAATTAATCAAACACGTGTTAGCGCGTGAAATGAGCTTTCCAAAAAGGTATGGCATAACCCGATGCGACGAATAAAACTAGAACTACGCGCTCTCAGCGCCAACTAGCGAAAATACCGCAAGACCGAATGTTGACTGTGACATACGGAGAAGCTACCTTGGACCGAAGCCACGTTTATCGATGTTACATAATGTTCTCAGAAGGCTGAGAAGATGTGACAAAAATTGGCTTTGGAACCAAGATAACGCCCCTGCTCAAACATCGTTGCTTGTGCGTAACTTTTTGGCCAAAAACAACACACTAATGATGCCGCAGCCACCGTATTCCCCAGATCTGGCCCTCTGTGACTTTTTCTTGTTCCCTAAACTGAAGAGGCCCATGAAAGGACGACGTCACGCTTCTCTTGACCGGATAAAGACGGCATCGAAGGAGGAGCTCAAGGAGATAAAAAAAAATGATTTTTTGAAGTGCTTCGAAGATTGGGACAAAACAGATATTTGAAAAAACACAAAATTCGCGATACTTTTTGAACACACCTCGTATGTATAACACTTTCCACATTCTTATCTCTATATCATTTTTTTATAAAGCCAATTGGCGTATGGTTTATTAAATAAATAAATAAAAACACTTCTAAGCCATTGTAAGGAGAACTATGCATACAGAAATTTGTCTCGAAGTAATCCCAGCAGCATATTATAAACAAAGAAAACGCGTGTGAGGGTAAACTGAAGCAGCTATAACTCCAAAAAATTTGAGATATCGATTTAAAATTAGAGTATGTACCTTTAAAGATACAACCTATCGATGTTACTTTATAATTTCTCACTCTGATTGGTCCTTAAAAAGCATATAGTAAGCATTAATAATATAAAAAAGGTTGCTACAATTGTAACATAAGTCCAAAAATTTAGATTTGTGCTAATCTTTCTAATTTCAAAACCTGCACAATGTTATTATAAAAAATAGATCGCATTCGCGCATTCAATAAAGTCAATAAAATATATATATATGGATATCGGACAGATTATATATATGTATATATATAAGCACATAATACATATACGTCATTAGCGAATAAAAAAGAACTCGTGTTTGGTTATAATCAAATTGCTAAAGGCATAACTAAGCATTTATTAATAACCACCAAAAAATTCCAATTCAATTTGATATGTTTGATTAGATGTGTTTGCAATTCACATTAATACCAACATTGCGATTATATGCACCTGTATGTGTGTATTAATTATATGTTTCTAATAGTCTAGTGCGGATGCAGAAATAAAAATTATAAAGAAAACAATTTTAATTAAAAAAATAAATGGATGAATTTTTGAAATTGCAAACAGTGGCAGTTTTGCTATAAATTTCCAATCTCAACTTCAATTGCTATCAGTTCCAAGGCATTTTTGAACCTCACAAATCAAGCTACAAGCACTCCAATAAAATGAAAGTAAGTATGGCATATTGCTCTCAACGTTACAAATATTTATGTTTATTTCCAATGTATTAATTTACAGTTCCTCATTTGCTTGGCTCTCCTCTTCGCCGTCGTCCAGGCTAACCCTGGCATCGTCGCTCCATTGACTTACTCGGCAGTGCCCAGAGTTGCGACCTACGCTGCCTCTCCATACACGGCTTACTCAGCTTATGCAGCTCCAGCAGTCAGCGTATACCGCGCTCCAATTTCACGTGTCGCTGCCGTAGCTCCCGCTGTACGAGTCGCCTATAGCGCCCCAGTGGTTTCTACTCTCTTGAAATAAAATACCTCTTTATGATTTATTTTTTGTTGATGAAACTGCCTCGTTCAAGGATCGGAATTATTTTAATAAATTTATATTTTTAAAGCATTTAAGATTATATATTTTGTGTACAAACAAATCTACAGCTGACAATTTAAGCCTAGTATACATAGTGCACTATACCATAAAACCACAAGTGGGTGCTGAGTTTTCAAGCAAGTGATTGCTGACTGGCATTAATTAGACACTACTATAATATAATATTTTTTTTTTTTTTTTTTTTTTCATAGTATTATAGTATATATGTATGTAGTTAA